CCCCAATCCCAATAGACGAACGTGTGTGATTCTTTGCTCACCATTACGCCCTGTTGGATCTGCTGACGTAACGCTGGCTGATTCCGCTCCTGACGAGAGGTAAATTTACTTTCTGTCGCCTCCGAACTTCAGCTGATAAGACGGTACCTCATTAAAAATTGCATGGATATTCGGGAAAGGGATGAAAAAACAAGTAATATGAGAGTAAAAGGAGAAAGGAGAGGAAGGACATTCGACGTTAGGGAAAGTGTAAGGGAATACGAAGGGAGAAGACATTGTACCAAGAATTAAGAAAGCACATTGACCTATGCTAGTGATGTTCCATTTGCTTATATCTCGTTATTATCAATCTTATTCATACTGCCACTATGATAGCCCTCATTATAATCTTCATTAATATCATCATTGTATTATACAATCGCATTTTTTTCATCGTCATTGTTGATTACGTCACTGTTATTGTTGTCAGTCCAATTATTACGTTTGTCCGTATTATGAATATCGATATTACCATGATAAACATCATATATCATTTTAATTACCATTATCGATATAGCTATCCTATTTCCATAATCAGTATTTCAGTTACATTACCATCGACATCATCATTACCATCATTCAGTATTATTATCAGCATCATACTCATTGTTATTACTATTGTTTAATGCCTTATGAGTATTATCGTTATCTTTATTATTATTTTCACTATCATGATAATCACAAATAGTGTTGTTATTATCATTATTATAATTGTTACTACGATTACCATTACTGTTCTTATCTTTATTATAATTGTTACTACTATTACCATTACTATTATTATCACTATTATAAGTAGTAGTAGTAGTAGTTTTAGCATCATATTTGTTATTATTATGATAGAAAATATTTTTATCAATGTTATCATCATTAGTAGTATTGCTTTTATTATTAATATTATTGTCATTATTACTATCATTATTATCATTATCATTTTTATTATCATTGTCACTATTATTGCTGTTGTTATCATTAATAATATTGTTATTATCATCAGTATTATTATCCTTATTGTAATTATTATTAATACAATTGAAATGTTGATGATAAGCATTATCATTGTCATTACTTTAACTTTTATTATCATCATTATTATCATTATATTATCATTATTATTTTTACTATCATTATTGTTATTATCATTACTATCATTGTTATCATTATTATTATAATTATCCTTATTTTTCTTATCCTAATATTAGTAGTAGTATTAGTATTATCATCATTATTATAATCTTTTTCATCATTACTTATAGTATTGATAGCATCATTATTATTATCACCATTAAAATATTAACTCTTCTATTATTTTTGTTTTTATCATTACAGTTCTTATTGTTATCATTTTCATTTTCATTATCATTATCAATATCATAATCTTATCTTACCATTTTCATTGCTATCATCATTGTCATTATTGATATTATCATTACTGTCAATAAAACAATTATTATGATAACTTTTATTATCTTTATTGTTGTTCTTATTGTTAAAATCATCAATATTAATGTCATTTTCGTTATCAATATCAGCTTCATTATTGTTATTATTATTAGCATTATTAATATTATCATTATTTTTTTAAGTTGTTATTATTGTTATTGTGATCTACATCATCATTATTATCGTATTTAGTTGCGATTTTGTTTTTATTACTATCATCATTATCATTATCGTTATGAATAGCATTATGATTATTATTACCGTCATAATCATTGTTAGTGTTATTATTATCTTGATATCATTATTAATATTATTATTATCACAAATAGTATTATTGTTATTATGGTTAATATTATTATCACCATTACCATTATTATCCTCATCGTTATTATTGTTATTATCATTATTATAATTTTCATTGTCATTGTTATTATTTTCTATTATTATTATCATTATCATTATTTTCGTCATTATTTTTTATTTTATTATTATCATTATTATTATCATTATCATTATTTTCGTCATTATTTTTTTTATCTTTACTCTTATTATCATTATTATTATCATCATCATCATCATTATCATCATCATTATTATCATTATTTTATTGTCATTATCATTATTTTATAGTCATTATCATTTTTATTATCATTATTATCATTGCCATTATTATCATCAATATTATGATTTGCATTATTATCATTATCAATATTAGTCTTAGTTTTAGTATTACGATTATTATTAGTTTTATCATTATTATCCTCCTCATTATTATTATGTTGCTGTTGCTATTACCACTATTATCATTAGTAGTAGTAGTAGTAGTACCACTATCATTATAATCGTCATTATAATTATCCTTAGCATTATCATCTATATCATTATATTTTCATTGCCATTATCAGTATTATCACTATCATTATTATCAGTACTAAGGATATTGCCATTACCATGACTATTATTTTCATTATGATTATCATTATTATCATTGTTATCATTATTATTGCTATTGTTAACATTATCATAATTATCATTTTATTATTGATTTTACTGTAATTATCACGATGTTCATTATCAAGATCATTATAACAATCATCATTATTATCATTATCATTATCACCAGCAGTATTAATATTACTTTTATAACTATCAGCATTATAGTTATTAATACCATTATCATTGGTGTTAGTATTAGTACAATATTATCATTATCATTGTTTCCATTTTTATTATCAGTAGTAGCAAGTCGATAATTGTATGGGACTTGCTCAGCACAACTTTGTTGGGTCTTGCAGACCTTACGTCTGGCGAATGCTCACTGCAACTTAATAAACGGCAAGTTTCACCTTCTGGTTAGCAGGAGATTGCGACCAGAGAAGGAACCTGAGGGATTCCACCCTGCTTTTCTCTCCCGTGACCACCATCTATACCTGTTTGTCGCCATTACTTCAACATGATTGTTATTGCTATCATTATTATGATCAATATTTCAATCATCATCTTTACCATTGTTTTTATCACAATTGACATTTTCAATACTATGCTTATTGACATGGTCATTATTGCATAATTCTTTATGATAATTGTAATTACTGTGTTTGCTGCAATCATTATTATTATAGTTATTGTTATTATCATTATTTTCACAGGATAAAGCTTATGATGATTTCCATCGTTTATGTAATTATCAGTAACGTTACTGCAGTCATTATCATAATCATATTTTTTTGTATCGCTATTATTGCTGAAAATGTCAATATTGTTATCTGAAAATGTCTTTAACACTGAAATTGCAATTATTTTTTAACTAATCTCATTATCGACACTAAATTTAAACCTTTGTTTTTCGTAACTTCATCATGTATGACGTAGAAAAAAATACTTCTTTTTCTAGACGTTTGCTATCTAAATATTTATTTGGCTAGTATTTATGATGGGAAATATAAAAACAAGAAAGTGATGTGCATTTTATTAGGGTGTGCATGCTTTTCGGTCTATAAATAGATTTTTCCCTTATTTTTTTCTCTCTTAATATTCAATAGTCTTTGAAAAGGCTGGTCACGCTGATCGATGCTGAGGAACTCCCATCTGCCGCTGAAATTTGCTCCCCGACGAAGGCGCTGCGGCAGTTATTCTGGATTGGAAAAGAAAACGGAACTAGCAGCTCTGATGAGAGGGTAACTTGTTCAGATTAAAGCACACTGACTACATCCTTATGTCCCTCTCCATTTCCCGTAATTTTGCGAATGAAAGAACGAATAAATCAATAGATTAAAGAAATAGATGAATAAGAATGATCAAGCATATATACAGTATATGTGTGTGCTTATCTATTCTTTATATAAATATATATAGATGCATACACACACACACAAACACACATGCATACATACATACATACATACATACATACATACATTACATACATGCATGCATGCAACATATATATATATATATATATATATATATAATATATATATATATATATATATATATATATATATATATAATCCTACGATACAGTGATTGCAAAGACACCACACTTAGCCTCCTTTATGTGTAAGTATGTATCTGTATCAATTGTTTTGTTCATACGTAAGCTCACCAATCGCCTACCGTTTCTGGTACTCATTTTGATGTTCTGGAATGGACGACAAGCCAGAGTACTTACACACGGAGTCACACTCAGAACCGCCTGTATGACAGGAGATCCAGTCTATGTAAGCGGAGACCCTGGTGTACACATTGGGGTATTCGGGTCTTGCGCACTCGACCCCATAGCTGACCAGGCCCACCTGGACCCACCTTCCAAATCCAACAGGCACCACAAAAGGACTGCCGCTGTCACCCTGGGAGAAAGTACGTTGAACTTAGAATCAACAGTCATTATCGCACAGGAATGCAATGGTAATTTCAGACATGCAGGGTGTGAATATTTCTGGATCACTCGGCAGAAATCAGGAATTTTTGGAGAAAAAATAAATAAAGAAGGGCTGAGAGAACGAACTATGCCGTGCTACGAAGAACATATTGTGGAAAGTACCTGACATGTATCCTTATAGGGCGTTAGACTGCACAGGACCTTTTCGGGTTCAGCAGGTAACCGGATCTTAGCTGCACACTCGCTCATGGAAATTATATCCAACTCGACCTCTTGCAGGATCGTTGGGCTAGAACCACCTATTTAAATGTATTACAATATACTTTTTGTTGAAAAGAAAAGTTATTTTGAGTTACAAATTCCATATCTCTCATTTGATCGCTTGCCCTGTTAAGTAGTAAATTCATTAACCTATATCATATTATCTCATACTATATGGTGTATAGTCTTCAAATATATAAAATACACATACACAAACACACTCATACTCTCTCACACATTTAACGTTAATGGAGTACATGCTAATCAGACGCGTATACATGTGAACTTGTGCAAGCGCCCTTACCATAAGACAGGCGGCCCCAACCGGTAGCCACACCCTTCCCGGAGAAGAGATTGTCCTCGTCCAACCCTAGGC